GCCATGAGGAAGATAAGTCAGTAGCCAGAAATGTGAAATAAATACCGTGGATAAAGATGAACTCAGGGTACTGGGTAAACATGGACGAGGGAAACATGCCTCGGATTGCACGTTTCACAGGGTTGTGGTCAGGACTGGAAGATATAAACAATCTGGATGTAATAAATGTAAAGAATTTGGCACATGGCATCTGCTCCATAAATATTAGTTCACATAGCGTTCACCTTCCTTTTTGCCAAACCTTGCTGCAAAGGACTCTTGCTAGAAGATAAATTAAGTGCTTTTCTTAAGAGATACTGTTTTTAAGAGCATTGATAGATATAACTGATGTGATATTTTTAGACTAGAAATAGGCTATATTGTATTCACTTCCCTACATGTCTCAGAAGACAGTCTGATCATTCTGAAAATGGGGGAAAAACACCTCTCCACAAAAGGATCTGCTTATCATCCTAATGTGAGCTCTTGTCCTTCCATAACTCTTAGAGGAGTGAGTAAGAACATTCTGAATTTGGAGAGACTTAAGTTCTGATCCTGACTTAAGCTTTCTGATCGTGGAGAAGTTACTTTCCTAAACCTCATTTTCCTCTGCTGTAAGTGGGGGAAATAGTACGCACCTCAAAGAATGGTTGTGATGATTCAAGATAACTCATGGAACGATCTCAGCACACTCAATCATTCAACAAGTGTTAGTTGAGCACCTGCTCTGTATTGGATGGTAAAGAGCAGAAGAGGAAAAAACCAGACCAAATTATACCTGCCCTCGTGGAGCTTACACTCTGATGGGGAAGGGGGAAAATATATAAGATAGATAAGGATGACTCATAGTATATTTGAAAGTGATAAGAGCTAGGAAGGGAAGAGAAAACAAAGCAAAGAAGGAAAGGAAGTAGAAGGCAGGGATTGAAATTCTGGAGGGCGAATTATCTGAATAGAGACCTAAACAGGTAGTGCCTGGCACAGGTGAATACGTGGTAAATTGTAGCTGTTTTACTAGGATATATTTTTGCTCCACTGCTCTGGAATTGGAGCACGTTGTGGCCAACATGTCTCAGAGAATGCTGATTTAAGACAATGACTTGGAGTTGTCACACTTGCCAGTGATTAGACTTAACGATCATTCAGATTTCTCATCCGCATTACTGGCTGCTCTTATTTTCCCCCTCTGCACTCAGGAAGGTTTTCTTAAAACAAACACAATCATCCCCCTCTGGGGTGATACTGCTACCAGAGGAGCTACTAAACCATTTGCTCTTGCATCTTTTGTAAGGACTTGTCCCCATAAAAGAAGCACTTTGTCTCCCACAATTGTTCCTCATCAGATGCTACATTACATAAAAGGATGCCTTGTTCCAAGTATAGCATCAACTCTTTCTGCTGTCGTGAATTATGGCTGATCTGGGTTTTTGTCTGGTAGAATAATCTAGAACTTCATACTCCCAAGGACTCCCTGAGTTGCTCTTCTGCCTCAGTTGCCTATTCACGGTTACCAGTGACCATGTTAACACTAAGAGATGCTCCACTGAATCCCCTGGGTTTCTGGCATGCTTCTCCCTGCCCTCATCATGCAAAACCAGAAACCTGTCAAGGCTGCACGTCTCCAACTCCTGGGCTCTAGCTGAGAAGCTGTTTCATAAACTTCTTGCATCCATTATCTTCTCTAGGGCTCCAAAGATAACAAAGTCTGAGGCAAAGCATATGTGCTAATATTTTATTGTGGAATGAAACATCCAGGCAGCAGGAATAAGGGAAAATAGACTATGAGGCAGGTAGGGCTGGAAAGCAAATGCCAGGAAGTATGTTATAGAGTTGGCCTCCACTTAAGGTGTCTCTATCAAGGTTTCTGGTCAGGCTAAAGAGAACTACCATTCTTCAGAATAGAACATCAAGGGAAAGGGATTCCTCCCATTTCTCACTGATCCAAGCTGGTGCCTTGGGACACGAATTCCCCTTTACCTGAGGGGGGTGTCACCCGGCCCTTCTGATCAGCTGTCAGGGAAGTCAGATCCTGTACACCATGGTGTGTACTTCATTTGAATCTGAAGGTTTGGTGGGTAGGGCCCAAACTCTCAAGGTCTTGGTTGGGTTGGGACTGGTGGCTGAAGTTCTGCCCAGGTGGATGTGCAGGAGACAATGGTGGTGGCAGCCAGGATGTCCCAATGAGCAAGTTCTCAAAGGCCCAGGAGTTAATGGTGCCCAGTGATGCTGGAAATCTGGTTCACTACCACATGCTACCTCTGCCTAGAATATTTATCTAATATCCAATCCCCCTACCAACCATGCATGGATGTATCACTATCCACCCCTTACAGGAAACTGAGGCTTTGTATAACATACCTTGCACATAGTGAAATGAGCATTTGAACCCAGTAAAAAGTGCAATGTTGGTACTCTTTCTCCTAGTCCATACACATCTCATATTCCAAAAATTCTAAGCAAAAAATGACAGTACCTATGATGAAATGAATTTTGAAGCCGGGTGAGAAGACATGGTGGTAGTGGTCATTGTGCGTTGATCTGACTTCAGAATGACAAAGGATGAGTTTTCTTTTTATGTGTGACTGTGAAGCACCATTTAGACACACTAGCTATAGGAGAACACTAAACAATGTACTTTGACACAACAAATGATCCACATTAAATGGAATGTATTACAACCCAGGCTCAGGCTGACAACATAAAAACTTCTTGATGAAACTATCCTCAAGTAAGTCTTCACAGTCCATCTATTATTTTTATGTAGTATTTTCACCAAACTGATATGCCCACTCTTCACATGGAATCGGCCAAGGTCATGTTCACATAAACAGCATTTCTTTAAATGCAGTCCTTAAGATTCCAGTAAGCATCATGCTCTTTCGGAGACTTAAAATAGTCACAAGGTGGCCAGGCACAGTGGCTTACGCCTGTAATCCTAGCACTTTGGGAAGCTTAGGTGGACGAACCATGAGATCGAGATGAAGACCATCCTGGTCAACATCGTGAAACCCTGCGTCTACTAAAAATACAAAAATTAGCTGGGCGTGGTGGCGTGTGCCTGTAGTCCCAGCTACTCAGGAGGCTGAGGCAGGAGAATCGCTTGAACCCAGGAAGCAGAGGTTGCAGTGAGCCGAGGCTGAACCACTGTACTCCAGCCTAATGACAGAGTGAGACTCCATTTAAAAAAAAAAAAAAAAAAAAGTCACAGCACAAACCCCAGGACAAAGGAGAATTAACTTCTAGCAAACTGAAAGTTGGAAAAAGAAATACAGATTTTCTTTTTTGCCTTGATTTATTCAATTTAGAGGTGCAGAACAGAGTTCAGCTTTCACTATATTATATATTTGGTCTTTCTCTTCTCAAAGATCTTCCAGTGCAAATAGAAATACAATGATCCTGTTTACTCAGCCATTTCACCCTTTATCTATTTGCATCTGGTGGATTTTGAGAAAATGAACGCTATGTTTCCCACTTTGCCCTCTTAGGCCTCATTTTTGCTATTAAAAAAGTTTCCTAGCCAGGTGTGGTGGCATGCCTGTGTTCCCAGCTACTCAGGAGGCTGAAGCAGAAGGATCACCTGATCCAGGAGTTTGAGGCTCCAGAGAGCTGTGATCATGCCACTATCCTCCAGCCTGTGTGACAGTGAGACCCTGTCTCAGAAAAAATAGTTTCCATAATTAAAAGAAAAATTTACATATGCAGAATGCGATGGCAAGCAGAGCAAAAGATTATATTTGAAGAGAAGTAGATAATTGCACCACTGCACTCCAGCCTGGGAGACAGAGCACAATCCTGTCTCTAAAAAGAAAGCAATAAAGTAAAAAATTAGTTGAAATAAGATCCTCGAAATCATCTGGGATGGGTGAAAAGGAAAAATCGTTCAAAACTCCTTCGCCTCCATTACCTCAGTGCCTTCTCCCCCCTTCTCCCTTAACTTTGTCCCTAGGAGACACTATCTGAACCTGTGGTCACAGAGGAAGGGGACAGGTTCTGCCTGTAGGAGATCCCAGAGATGGGATGGGATGGCACTGGTCTCTCTTCCCATCCCAACTTTGATGCCTAAAACCTGTGTGACACTTAAAGAAAAACGCTAAATGTAAATGTGGTGATTTAGTTATTTCTCTTATAGAAATAAAGCAGTCTTTTCTACTAAGGCATCGGGAAATCCTAGAATAATTAAAATGATTGAAAGTGGGAGGGCTATATACCCAAAGGATTATAAACCATTCTATTATAAAGACACATGCACATGTATGTTCATTGCAGCACTGTTTACAATAGCAAAGACGTGGAACCAACCCAAATGCCCATCAAAGACAGACTGAATAAGGAAAACGTGGCACATATACACCATGGAATATGACGCAGCCATAAAAAAGGATGAGTTAATGTCCTTTGCAGGGACATCGATGAATCTGGAAACCATCATTCTCAACAAACTGACACAAGAACAGAAGACAAAACACCACATGTTCTCCCTCATAAGTGGGTGTTGAACAATGAGAACACATGGACACAGGGAGGGGAACATCACACATGAGGCCTGTCAGGGGGTGGGGGACTAGGGGAGGGATAGCAGGGGGTGGGGGTATTGGGGATGGATAACATTAGGAGAAATCCCTAATGCAGATGACAGGGGTATGAATGCAGCAAACCACCATGGCACATGTACACTTATGTAACAAACCTACATGATCTGTACATGTACCCCAGAGCTTTAAGTATAATAATAATGAAAAAAAAGAAACTGGGAGGGCTACAGGTTGTGTGAGGATACACAAGCATGTTTTAACAACACAAAAGAATAAATACAAGTTCCTTGATTGGAAAGTTCCATTCTGGAGCTAGAGGTGATTCTGAGAGGTCACACAGGACTTTGAGAGCCGTGGTCATTAACAACCTAGAAATAAGGCTTCAGTGTGTGGCAAGAAGAAAACAAAAACTTCAGAACAAAATAACTAATGCAGATGCTAAAGATAATGTTGAATAACATTCAACATAAAAACCCAAACACTACCATGGAATTTATTTTTACTTTATTAACAATGTGGCTTACAAGTTTTTTTTCAAGTAAAAAGGGTTTTTTTTTTTCCATTTAGAATAAAAATTAAAATATAACTCTGATATAGATTTTCATTTATTTACATGAAAACATATATACAGAATACAATCTTACAGCAAACCAACAGCATGCCCTTTGTCCTGCAAATTTCAAAAGTAATGACACCAATTTTTCCCTTTTATGCACCAAAACATACACAAGATAGGAATCCAACTTCAATACAAACTATTCAAACTAGAATGCAAAACAGTGAAAGGGCTTTCAACATTCACGACGAGGGGAAGGTTATGCTTCCAGAGATCATGCTAGCTCCTGTTTCGAACAAGTGAGATGATTATTTTTTCTGTCATTTAAAAAATTTTCCTCAATTTTTTTATCCTAAGGTGATTTTTGGCCAACGATTGTTCTAGAATATTCATTTTTTTGCTAGCACGTCTCTTCAGCCACACAAAAAGCACTGCTCTGCCTTGGTTAGCGGCACGACCTTCGTACTCACTGGGACCAAATTCTCATTACTTCACGCCAACAGTACAGAAGGATGACGGCCCCTTCCTCAAACAATATGGAATTGTTTGAGTTGTTATTTATCATTTAAACTAGAGAGGTTCTGAACCAAAATTCAAGGCAGCACTCTATGTCAGCAATTATAATTTTTAGGTAAATCACATGGGTCAAAAGTAGCACAATTTGATTTTATCATAGTATGTTTGGGGTACCTGTAAACCCTTCTAATGATAAGAGCTATGAGAATTAGTCAACTTAAGAATTCAACCACATGAAAGGAAGTAATTTCTAGAAAATCCTTGAACAGAAAAGAGCAATAAACAACAAAAAAAGAATTATTAAATTCTAATAGTTGCCAATACGGATTTCCCTTGCTATTTAATTATTGCACCAACGAGATATGAGCAGTATGGATATCTCGCCAACACTTTCTTCCTTAACAACTATAGGTTTCTTAATTTACTATGTTTCCTTTCAAATAATTGCACGCGCGATCACAGCTTTCTAAAGACAGAAAAGAGAGGAAGTGGAGCCTTGATTCACCACCTTAATCCAAAAGCAGCGAAGATGCTCAAACCACAACAAAGATTTTTAACACTACTGGGTTTTTTTTAGTTCTATATACAGAAATAAATATAAATGGGTGTTCTATAAAATAAGTATGAAAACCCCTAGCGCTTCTAAAACTAAGGGGGGACAGCTCTTAGAAAGGGGTGTTTGGCATAAGATAGAAGGCAAATCTCAGAACTTGCCGAATACAATGCTCAGAATCCTGTGAGACAAATTAGGGAAACGACACCCATCTTCAAAAGGCTGATCAAAATCAACCCTCTAGAGAGGGCAGTAAAGGTCACAGGAGCAGTGTTCCAGGTGTGGGTTATTTTAACACACTGAGGAACAAATCAAAGTAAACACAGGAAATAATCTTTCGAACGTGATCAAATAAGGTGGGAGAACTCAGAAGCGGCGCAGCTCAAATACTGTGTCTGACTCAAACTTGGATCCAATGACTCTAATTTTAAAAGCGAAGGCTGAGTTCCCCACACTGTGAAGCTCTGTGGTGACGTTAAGGGTGTTTTGCTTTTGTTTTGAAAGGCAAAGGAGTTCTGTGATGCCAGCCGTACCCTGTTCCTTTTCTAGTTGCTAGGTTTGGGTTTTTGTGGACAGGATATTTTCCACATAGTACAAAAGCAGTCAAGAAGCAAGGAGTTGAAACAAGCTCCGTTAGGTGAGGGTGAGACTGAGAGACAGGCTGCTGTGATTCAAGTGGAGGTGGCGTCTCTTTCTCAGGGTTTTCACATGGCGCAGATGGTACAGGCTGCTGGGCCAGTTCCCGTGGCGTTCCACAGGATGTGGGTGCTCTAAGGAGAGGACTTTGGTCCCAAAGGATCATCAAGGAGAGACGGCGAAGAAACGGTACCATCCAGGGAAGGAATGCGAGGAATAACTTCTTGGTGTTTAGACCATGACGTTTTTGGCCTAGGGGCTATGGTGGCGTTGGGGCACACATGTCAATCTACTTTTTCTGCCAAAAGCAACAAGGACACACAGAGAAAAATGCTCCATGAAATTGGCCCTATCTTTAAGACAGACGCTGGTGAGAGGTGAATCCTACAGAGACGTGAAAACACATTACAGTTCTGTACCAGAATTGCTGCTGATGTGAAGTCCACTCACTGTGACTGAAATCCCCCGAGAATCCAAGCTCAGGACACTGGCAACACCTGGAGCATAAGCACCTCCTCGCTCCTAAAATCTTTCTGGGCTCTCCTCAAGGACTGGAGAGATGGCATAGAGACAACCATCATGGTGACGCCAGGCTGTGCCCTCCTGTGCCGTGGCCACAGCCATCTCCTCCCTGGCACACGCACACAGAGTGGGCACCCACGGTGACTCCAACTGCACAGAGAAGCAATGAAGTTAACTGTCAGGGTGAAGGACACAGAGTCTTGGGCGCTTGGCCGCATGGGAAGCAAACGCTTTCCCCAGAGACAGTCGCCGTGGTCTTCTTGGGCTCCTGGTGGGTCACATTCCAGCTCTCTGGGTGGGCTCCAGAGACCCCCACCCAGAGGATCTCCTCCCTCCAATGCAGCACCTCCTCTCCGTGCCACCGCTGAGAAGGGAGACAGAAGTGGCATTCGTTCTGCAAGTCCCTGTTCTGTTGTGGCCACCACGTTCCCTCATCGTTGTCTCAAATACAACAGAAACAGCTCAGCTTGAAAAGGCCATGGTGAAGGATCACGGAGTCGGTGCGGGGAGAATGCCAAAGGTCCGGAAACGGATGCCCCTTCCAATCATCTGACAGGGTTTAACTCCACAAGACTGAGCATTTAAGGCCAAAAGCATGTGGCTGAGAAGGCAGGGTTGGGTGAAGAACTGTGGAGAGGTCAGAACTTGAGCTTAGAAGGAGAGCTGCCCAAGGCAAGCCAACCACGGATCCCAGAGATGTCTCTGTCTGGGCACAGATGTCACCCTCCTTCCATCCGAGGCCCCCAGGCAGATCCACCAGCCAAACTCTAAAACTGGATTACAGAAATCGGCTGCAGGGGCGTTTTCCATTCTCATCTGGAACCGTTACAGAATATGAAGAAGGGGACCTTGAGCAATCAGTTTCCAAAAATCCCACCAAGAATCATATTTGAAAACATCACAGAAATGCAAGCAGCTCATTGGCCCACCACAGGATTTTACTGCAACTATGGAGACTCCAGTCCAAGGGACGAGCTCAAGGTAATTATGGTGGAAAAGCAGGAAGGCTGCAAAGCCTCTTCTTCCGGCATCTGCTCAGGAACCATGGGAGGGTTTGGTTTCCTTGCATAAGTTTAAAAAGGCATCTAGGCAGCCGCCACAGCGGGACCCTGCAGTCCACGGGGTCTGCGTGGAGATCCCAAATCACTCATGAGTATACGGAGATGGCTTCTGGTCCAAGAGGCCAGCCAACTCCCACAGCCACAGATACGCCTGCACATGACCTGGCAGATTTAACACAACTGCCCAAGAAATTCCACAAGCAAACTCCAAGCCAGAAAGAGCTACAGGAATGGCAGGGTTAGAACTGGGACCACTTCTTTTTCTTTCTTTTTGTGACTTTTGGCCAATCTGGATCTTCCTTTCCGGCATGAGCAGGATGAATGCCAGCAGGAGACAGCGTGCTTGCCCCGACTCTCAGTGTCCACACCTGTCGCTTCACAGGAACCAAGGTTCAGAGTGATAAGAAGTCACCCAAGATCTGAGAGTTAGTTCTCAATAAAACCCGGGTGTCAAGTGGCTGACTCCAGATTCAGGGCTCATGCTGCATCGTGCCTGGTGCATATGAGGCCAGCTGGGGCAGAACGAGACAGAAGGGGTGCTCAGAGGGACTCCTGCTTGGTGACGCTGCAGTGATCCTTCTTAGGGGTGTAGCTGGTTCACGGAACACTTCCCCCACGTCTCCTTCCCTTCCTGCTCTCTGAAATTAAGCTTCTCCTTCGATATATAATCCAACGTTTGCCTAAAGGACTCATTCCCTGATTTGGCTACAATTAACCTACAACAGTGGAGATAGCTGAGTGTCTAGAAAAGACTGGGTAGAGTTTGTCTCTACAGATATTCTAGGTTTCAATCAATAGACATCCAGTTGGACTGGGCACGGTGGTTCATGCCTGTAATCCCAGCACATTGGGAGGCCGAGGTGGGCAGATCGCTTGGCGTCAGGAGTTCGAGGCCAGCCTGGCCAACATAGTGAAACCTCATCTCTAAGAAAAATACAAAAATTAGTTGGGCACAGTGGTGGGCGCCTGTAATCCCAGCTACTTGGGAGGCTGAGGCAGGAGAATCACTTGAACCCAGGAGGCAGGGGTTGCAGTGAGCTGAGATCATGCCACTGCACTCCGGTCTGGGTGACAGAGCAAGACTCTGTCTCTAAAAACACAACACAACAAACAAACAGATCATCCAGTTGCATGGAGAAGCCTACTGGCCTCCTTCACTCTCCGTATTCCTAAGAGGCACCTCTAACAGAGGACAGAGCTTTAGCACATCTCTTCATAAGGACATCGCTGCCAGCTGTGTTAGAGAAAGGAGTTGCCACCAAGATGAAACTGTGTGTGCCACTCGACCAGTGTCACACGCCTATCCATAGGTAACAGCGTCGATAAATGTGCCCGTTTTATTACAGGAAGCTCTATGGCATGGGGTGAGGTTTCTTCCTTGGTGACATTCTTAGTTTTCAAAGAATGCAGGCCTCATTTTAAGAAACCCGGCTCCACGGGAGCTGCCTGGTTTGTGGTGGGAGAAAGGCAAAATGTGGGTGCACAAAGCAGCAGGCCCACATCCCCGCAGAGGCTGATGCACTACTTTAACTGGCGCTCCCCAGAAGCGACTTCTGCAGCGCCTCTCTGTGCTTTGAAAACATGGGAACAGCTCACAGGCTGGCAGAGGCAGGAGATCCTGGGCTTCTGGCTTTCTGGTGATACTCAGTGTCCGTACCATGCAACATATCCTGGAAATCAAAGTTTCAGTCCTGGAAACCTTTAGCAACACCGCATCCCAGCGATTATGGGCCACGTCCCGAGGGCAGACTCAGTTGGCATACTGGGCGTAGAAAGCCACTTTGACTCTCTCAATCTGGTGGCATAACTTGATGGCAGGCCCGAGCTTCAGCTCCATGCACTCCTGCACCGTTGGGAGCGTCAGAAGCAGGAGTGCTTGACCGTCAATGTCCTGCAGGAAAAGAAAGGCAGGTTAAGTCAGGGCAGCGTGCACGGGGGAATGCACCTGTCACGGCAGGCTCCACCCTGGGGCCAAACGTGAGAAAAGGACACTTTTGTTTCATTCAATCCAGGGGACTGTTGGCAGAGATACCTACCTGGCTTGATGACAGTCTTATCTTTATGTTACTGAAATCTTTCTGCAACTGGGCACAGTGGCTCATGCCTATAATTCCAGCACTTTCGGAGGTTGAGGAGGGAGGATTGCTTGAGACCAGGAGTTTGAGACCAGCCTGGGCAATACAGCGAGATACTGTCTCTAAAAATAATTGAAAATTTAGCTGGGCATGGTGGCACAAACCTGTGATCCCAGCTACTCAGAGGCTGAGATGGGAGGATCACCTGAGCCCAGGAGTTTGAGGTTGCAGTGAGCTGTGATCACACCACTGCATTCCAGCCTGGGCAACAAAGCAGGATGGTCTCTAAACAACAAAAACGAAAACAACAATACAAAGACAAGAGCTTTGGGCTGAGGGCATTCTGGCTACTCTGAAATTCACGTACCTACCCAAGTGGGTAAAAAGAGCTGGAACAGGCGGGCTGCTGAGGGAACTGCTTCCTGAGCTTATCGTCCTTTGCTGGGAGAGCAACTCACCCTCCACCCCAGGCTAGGCCAGGTGCTCCCTGAGCTATGCTGCGACTTCATCTCAGCACTAAGCTGCTAAAAGACAAGGCTCCCTCACCTCCCTGCCAAGGTCTGCCATTTCACTGTCAGGATGAGTGAGAAGATGCTCAAGACAGATAATGCCAATGACACAGCACAGTTTTCCATAAAGGAAAACTCACACAGACACACACACACAGACACACACACACACACACACACACACACACGCACACACTCCATTTACAGACACACACTGTCCAGAGCAAGGTGTTCCTCGTACACAGATCTGTTGTTCCCACTATATCCTGCTCAGCCCGTCTCTACCTACCCACAGGGTATGAAGAAATTCATTCAATGAATGTTCAGTTGACTTTGCTTCCTGCAGGAGGAAGCATACAGAGGCTCACTCCAAAGCTCTAAGACCCTTCCACTGGACATCTCTGTCTCTTCGGCAGCTTTCTTCCAATAGTAATCTGGTTTATTCATGTAGATGTCATTTGACTGGACTGCGGAGTTTAACCGCAATCCTCCTTCCTATTTACCAAGACGATCTCAATAGTCCAGAGGGAGTCACTGAGGCTGTAAGAGATTGCAGGCCCCAGGCAATGATGAAGATCAGTGGTACCATGCGAGCATTAAGTGAGCTCCGCATACAGGAATTTCTGCCACTTGCAGAAGAATTATACCCAGGGCTGCCAGAAGCCACAAGGACATTAATAGCCAAGCAACAGCACAAGATCATATGTCTCAGACAACACCTATCAGTGACTTTCGCACAGGCAGCTTATTTTCTTAAACTAATGGTTTATTTAGCTGTCTTGAAAATATCTAAAGCAAAAAGTCGAAATGTGTATAAATAGTAGCCTTGAGCAGACTAATTTTCCAAGCAAGCATAATTCATCATCTGATCAGATTCAAAAGACTAATGTTAAGAGGAGGAATAATTTATCTTCGGATCAGATTCAAAAGCAACAATATTCCCTAATAAGTACTGCAGCAATAAAAATGAAACATTAACTTTGAAAGTATCGATATGCATGTCACTTTTTATTTTTAAATTACAGATGAGGACTAGCTATGATGTAAGCAACTCGAAGCCACGCTCAACCAAGACGCAAAGGTGACCTTATCAAACCACAAAGTAAACAGATCTGTCTTGTACACATACTAAACGCAGGAGGCAAACTATAGAAAACTGTCACCATATTTTCATGCCATGTTGATATCATTTTTCTCTTTCTCTATAGTGCCTGCATATGTTATTTTACTTTCTTTTCAGATGCTACTGATTGTAGCTGGGGGGATTTGGGGGTACCGTGAAATAGTGTTCGGCTCTAGGTCGCAAAGAAACCACGGTGACCTCTGGCTTGAGGCCTGTTAGCCAATTCCATTTTCAGAGCCAAATCCACATATAACATATCAAAATAGACCCAGAGGGCATAGGCGTAGGCACCCACAGTCTTCTAAGTATCATGGGCCTCTTAAAAACACATTTTAAGTAGGCAGGGGGCTGATGCTCTATTTTATTCTGTTCTGTGGATGTCGTTAAACCGTGGACAGGTGGCTTAACCATTAAGTTCAATGACATCCACACAACAGGACAGAACAGAAATAAAACTTATTTTGCTTTCTCTAGGAAGTTTACTTTCCTGGTGAAAATTAATGCCTGGAAAAGCTAGCCAATCTATCTATGATCACACAGCTAGTTACAGACAGTGTTGGAATCAGAACTGTCGTTTTCTGACATTAAACTCTGAAGGGAAAACTGGAGCTCAGTCTTTAACATCTTTAACTTGGTCATGGTGGGGATTCAGTCACCACTGAATATCAGCACTAAAATCTTTATGTAACTCTTTCTCTACAGACAATTACACTGAAGGTGGCCGATGCATGTACCACATTTAAAAGTGCACGTGCACACACTCATTTATTTACTTGCCAATATTTATTGAGCATCTACTAAGTGGCAGGCACTTGGCTGGCTTCTGGGGAACATCACAGTGAACGAAGGACAGGTTCCCTCTCCGGACACCCCATGCATCTGAAGGGCGGCAGACAAATAAATAGACTATTAGGATACAGGGATATTAACATATGGATGCAGAGCTAAGGGCTCAAACAGGACAGGCAGGCAGGACGGTCTAATAGGGGCATCAAAAGGGCTTCCAACAGAGATGTCAGGGACCAGTGGCAATGATTAAGGCCAAGAGGGACTGAAAGAACACAGGTAGTTCCCTGGAATGTAGAATTCCAGGAAACTGGGGAGATATCTAAGGTAAAATCATGACAAGCCGAGAAAGCCACTTTACTTGGAAGACTACTTTCTCTTTCAAGGATTATTTAGGTAACAGCATAGCTCACAGATTGTTTAATTTTTATAAACATATAATAAAAACTCCTTTATAACTGATAATTGCTGGCAGATCACTTTTAATGTTAAATACAGAATTACCATAAATGGGCTAATTGTAAAGAAATGAAATATAATGAGATATACAACATGCTTAGCAGAGGGCAAAATTAAATCTATTTTGATAGAGCATTCAAGTGAGGACTTGGTAGTTCCTAATGGAGGTATTCAGGTCTAGAGAAGTCAAGTAAGGGGAGCTTAATCTGGACTAAGCCTATAAACTACACTGAGATTTTTTTCATTAAGTTCAATTGATCATTTGGACAGTCTACTTATCGTCCTGTCACTGACTGATGAAAGCTGAATGAATAGGGAAAATTTTATTTAGAGTTTTGTGTGTTCTTAGTTACGGATGAGTGGATTTTTACTGTGTAATGTACAGGTTTGCAGCATTAAATGATGGAATATAGAACTTTTTAAACAGTTGCCATAACATGTCAGAAATAAAAGGTACAGATGCTGGTAATGGGGAGTTGATAATTTTTGCAAATGCTCCTAGTGATTACAATAATCTCTGCATTTACAACATTCAGGGCATGTGTGCAGAGAGCAATGACCATGCTGTGCACTGTGATCTCATTCACATGCCAGTGAATAAAGTCTCCGGGTTCCTTCTAGCTCATCCAGAATCTCAGACAATGCCTGCAGTGACCTGCTGGAGGCCTCAGCAAATCAGAGCTGGAGTATTTGGGCTAAAGGATGATGAACAAATTACTAAAAATTAGTAATGAAAGGTGTGATGGGACAGAAAAGGACTCAAGTGACATGTACTTCAGACGGCCCAGTGGGCAATGGCTTTTTATTCCAACAAGTGAACCTGCTAATGTGAAACATGAAATCACACAGGAATGAGACGATAATCAGTGAAAACCTACCTATGTTTCTCTCTCATAAAAAAAAAGTAGGGATGAAGGGCAAGGCTTTCACTGATATTAGAAGAGCAGCAGGGCTAAACTCTGTCTCTACTAAAAATACAAAAATTAGCCGGCTGTGGTGAAATTCCAGCTACTCTGGAGGCTGAGGCAGGAGAATCACTTGAACCCGGGAGGCAGAGGTTGCAGTGAGCTGAGATCGTGCCATTGCTCTCCAGACTGGGCAACAAGAACAAAACTCCATCTCAAAAAATAAAATAAAATAAGAGCAACTTGATTCTACAAGGGGGATGGTGTCAGCGGTGTTCCATTTCCTAGAAGACTGAGCTTAGGGAAGGCATGAAACTTTTCCCTGGTGTTATCAGCTGGGTTTAGAAATACAAGAAAGGAAGACTGAATACTTTTCCCCAACCAGCTTTTCCCCAACCAACTTTGTTTCACTTTCTTGCTTATTACTAAGAATGTATACACAGTGTAGACAGACACAGGAGGTATTAACGTTTCAAGGTGTAAGCCCTCATACCAAACCTGGAATCTAGAAATGAGAAATCTGCTCTTCATTCAGGCCTAATTCAACTTCTTTTTTGTTTTGTTAAAACTAAGCATTTGAGCCTAAAAATAAAACCAAAACATTAGACTAACACAGAATGCCATACCTCGTACCTTTAGCTAACAGAAGGAACCTTGCAGGGACTGAATCTGTGTATGTTGAATGCACAAAGGGACTGACAGACACGCAACCAAACCTGCGTGATCGGCGCTTGTCATGTATGTGAATACAACGCTTTTCTCGCTGCAGCACCACTGTCAATAAACACCAGACAGGAAAAGTACTGCGTTGGCCCACACTTTACACAGGATTTCAATCTATTGCTTTTTTTTTGGTTTTCAAGATGGAGATATGGCTTATCAATAAGCCCCTGATCACCTAAGTCCTTGCATTTCTTAGAATTGCCTTTCTTTCCTGTTTGTGTGTTCTTTGAAGGGACAAGCTCATCACCCAGTTTCTTTAGGTGTAAGGAAGCCTCTCCCTGGTTGCTTTTCAGAGTTGCCTAGACAGGAAGGGCAGCCAACATCAGAAGGTCAGGAGGCGACTCCCTCTGCTTCCAATCATTCTTTTTTTGTTTGTTTTTGAGATGGAGTCTTGCTCTGCCACCCAGGCTGGAGTGCAGTGGCACGATCTTGGCTCACTGCAACCTCCACCTCCCAGGTTTTCAAGAGATTCTCCTGCATCAGCCTCTCGAGTGGCTGAGATTACAGGCGCCCACCACCATGCCTGGCTAATTTTTGTATTTATTTATTTATTTATTTATTTATTTATTTTGGCAGAGATGGGGTTTTACCACGTTAGCCAGGCTGGTCTCGAACTCCTGACCTCAAGTGATCTGCCTGCCTCGGCCTCCCAAAGTGTTGGGATTACAGGCCTGAGCCACCATGCACGGCCTAATCATTCTTTCAGCATGAACTTAGTGGGTATCTGCAGAAAGTTCTAGTGGTCATCAATAGGATGAACTGCTTCATTGCTTGGACTTCTTGGGACGCAGGGGAAAGAACTTTGAATGACAAGAACTACTCTTTCTGGGTGGTGCTGGGGACCATAGCAATTTGCTTTTTTCAGTTCATTGCTGCATAAATTGGGAGGAAAGCTGGGAAATCTCCTGGGTGTACAGGAAGTCACAGGCCTTTTGTGCTTCCTGATTTAATGCTAGAAATATCCTCTTTCTAGATTACTGGTTTGTATGACCTAAAAAGACACTGAATAAAGCTATCTTTAAATTTATTATATGAAAAACAGTATTTTTTTTTAAACATGAGGTCTTCAAACACAGATATCTACACCAGGACAATGCAAAAAACTTCAATAAATTAAGCACAGAGTAGAGCAAGAGTCTTGCATTTTCTGCAAAGCCAGCAAAGCAGGATGCAAGGTGGTATGTGTAGAGAGAGTGGCAACTTGTTTTTATATTAATTTAAGGGAAAATGTAAATAAAAACCCTCTCATTTTCCTTAGGACACATCATCATATGTCTTATGTTTCAGCTAACTATACTCATTTCATCTGCTGGACTATAGATTCCTTTAAGGTAGAAATTAACATTATTGCGTTTGTCCATCATCATACCATAGTCTTAAAAATGTTTTATGTAGAAAGAAGAGAATGTTTTTGAGGCCTCTGTTCTGTTCCATTGGTCTATATCTCTGTTTGGTACCAGCACCATGCTGTTTTGATTACTGTAGCCTTGTAGTATAGTTTGAAGTCAGGTAGCACAATGCCTCCAGCTTTTTTTTTTTTTTTTTGCTTATGATTGTCTTGGCTATGCGGGCTTAAAGAAAACACGGCACATATACACCATGGAATACTATGCAGCTATAAAAAAGGATGATTTCAGGTCCTTTGCAGGGACATGGATAAAGCTGGAAACCATCATTCTCAGCAAACTGACACAAGAACACAAAACCAAACACCACATGTTCTCACTCATAAGTGGATGTTGAACAATGAGAACACATGGACACAGGGAGGGAAATATCACACACTGGGGCCCGTTGGGGGTTGTGGGGACTAGGGGATGCATAGAAGAGGGTGGGGGGATTGGGGAGGGATAACTTTAGGAGAAATACCTAATGTAGATGACAGAGGGATGGATGCAGCAAACCACCATGGCGCGTGTATACCTGTGTAACAATCCTGCACAATCTTCACATGTACCCCAGAACGTAAAATATAATTTAAAAATAATAATAACAATAAAAGAAAGAAGAGAACACTTTATGTAGAAAGAAGAGAATATTTCACGTAGAGGAAGGTAAGAAAACGACGATGAAAGCGGCATTCAAAACAACACACCGGTCAGGGGCTTCCACTCTGGGCAGGCCAGGTAGACACCCTGTTCCCTCCTTCTCCCACTAGGCATAAGTAAGATCTGTGGGCATTAGGTAGAAATCTACAAACAGAAGCCTCTGGAAGACAGTCTCTGGAAGAAGAGAGGAAGGCAGACCAGTCAGGGGCCTGGGACCCCAGCTGATGGCACGTGCTGAGCTCTCGGGTTGTTTTTGTTGTTTGTGTGGGCTTCACATACCTGGGAGTTGGAGCTGAAGAAGCTGCAACCCAGATTTGCCAAAAGGCACCGACAGGGGGCTCAACCAAAGCCGGCTCTCTCCAGACAAAGGGCTGGCCAAGGGGTGGCCCAGCAACACAAAAAGCTGTGAGACAGCAGCATCTCTTCTGCAGCTGAACACCGTAGGGAGGGCTGGCCGGGCCCCACGGACAGCAGCCAAGGCAGAGTGAGCCACCCTGACTTCCAGCCTGGCCAGGGGGCAACTGGGTGCCCCATCCGACCACCAAGGTGGCATCTGAAAGGGCCAGGCAGCAGGGAACTGGGACTCTCACCCCTGCATGGTGGTAAAGAGCCCCCATCGTAGGGTCAGCAGAGATGGCAGGGGGAGCGTTGACTCGCACACCTCATCTGATAACAGCAGGCACCTCCCGTCTCTGCGGGGGGGACTAGAGCTGAGAGAGTCACTCTCCACCCCCTGCTGTGGTACTGGTGGGGAGAGTGAGGGGGAGGAATGAGGCTCTCTGTCTCTTCCCTACCAGGAGGCCCTCAGCAGGGACCTCGGAGGGAGCCGGGTCTCGCTACCTGCCCAGCGGCACCAAGGAACACCCACGCAGGTGTCACGAGGAAGCCGGCTGGGACAGGTGGTTCATTTCAGATCCAGAGTCTCAGTACATCAAACCACTGACATGCGGCAAGCCACTGTACCTGCTCCTGAAATATCTTGGCCAAGGGGGCACAGTCCGTCAGCTTAATGAACCTCACCACGTCGGTGACCGTCCACTCCAATGGGTTGCTCTCCAGAACCAGTCTCTCCTCCTCCTCTTGTTTTGTGTCCTGCAGAGAAAGGGCAGGGGGAGCCCAGCTGAGGCACAGTCCATCGGCTGGGTCCTCTCCGGCACTCTCCAGGCCTCAGTTGCTCCTGGCCAGGAGCAACTGCCTCCCTTTCCTCCCTCGCTGGGCACCTGAACAAACTACCCACACTCTCAGTTCCTGGGAAAATTCTTCACTCTGTGATGATGCCCCCTGCGATGTCTCATGTGCCTTCAGAAGGAAGAAGGCAGGCAAGGTTTTCAGGAAACCTTGGGGCTGCTTATGAACGAAGTGTCTCCGCTTAGAGAAAAGAGGAGAAATACAAGGGGCACGTCCAAGAAGGCATGAGAGAGTTCACACGATGTTTCTGTAATGGTGGTGCCAGCGACCCTTTCTGCTGATCTCACACCACCCACTGGGCTAGGGAGACCTAAAACATGATTAAATACTTTAAAACATCACAGAGGTACACTGTAGAGGGGACGCGGGAGCTGACACAGGGCAGTTACGGGAGATGCAAGGAAGGAGGTTCTGGAAACCAGGAGTTCAAAGGAGCCCAAGGACTGTGCCTTCCTCCTGACAAGCACCCAGGTGGCACTAAAGCCGTCTGGGAAAGAGATGCTACCTCCACCCTGCGAGCTGCATTCTGAAGGTGAAAGGCCCCTGCGCCCGGAGGTGAAGCACCAGCCTCTGTCCCTGACTTGGGAAAGAGCTAGGGCAGGTGCTGCCGCTGGAGGCATTTTAAACAGGGTTTCCGGCATCATGGCCCTGAACTATCAGACCCAGCAGGAACCCCTCTGCCCCACGCCCGGGCGTCACCTCTGTCCCCTCGGGCTTGGCCGGCGGGCACTTCTCCCCTTCCTCTGCAGAGGAGGCGGCCGGCGCCCTGCGGCCCCTTCGTGTCCTCTCCGGGGGCGGCAGGCGTGGGGGCTCTGAGCCACTCCGCAGGGTGACGGCCCTCCGGGGCCGGGCCGAGGGCACCTCCGCGGACGAGGTGTCTGTCTGGTCATCCCGGAGCTCGGAGCCGGTCTCCTCACTGGCGGTGTCGTCGTCCATGGCGCCAGCGTCCTCCTCCTCGCTTTCCTGAGAAGAAGAAAAAGGCATTTAAGGGGCTGGTGGCAGGGGGTCCCCGCGGTCAGACCACGGGGTCCTGTGGTCAGACCTGGGGCCCAGTGCAGACCCCTTAAAAGCCCCGTCTCAGGTGGTCTCTAAACTGGAGCCGATGGTCCCACCCATGGGCCCTACGAGGCCCCTTCCCAGCCAAAGCAGCTGGACACGCTACATTTGTTTCCAGTAAGTAAGGGGGAGGGGGTGTCTTCTCTGGTGTTTCAGACCATCCTGCTGCAACGTCCAGAGCCACCTCTGCCATGAAGCAGCCACACCTGCCAGCCAGGGCCAGACGGCAGAGCCACAGGCTGGCGGGCGCCCAGGCAGTACCTACCTCCCCCGAGCCCGCTGTGAAGTCCATGGCAGAAGACCTCCGTTTCTTCTGCACGAAAATGGATTTCCGTCGCTTCCTCCGCCTGGTGGGTTTGGGGTGTCCGCTGTCAGGGTTGCTTTCTCCGATGGGGGGCTTGGAGATCTTCTTTCTCTTTCCATAGTAATAGGCTGTAGGAAGGAAGATAAGAAACTTTTGAAGGCTATCCACACACACACAGACATGAACAGAGAGAGGGAGAGAGGAAGGAGTGAGACCATTCTTTCATCTGATATCTCTGTACCTTAGGAAGTCATTCTGAGAAAACATCTACATGGGGAGAAGTGAAGCCCATCTCTGCTAAAAATACAAAAATTAGTCAGTTGTGGTGGCACACACATGTAATCCCAGCTACTCAGGAAGCTGAGGCAGGAGAATCACTTGAACCCTGGAGGTGGAGGTTGCAGTGAACCAAGAAACCAAGATGGTGCCACTGCACTCCAAGCTGGGCGACAGAGCAAGACTCCGTCTCAAAAAAGAAAAAAAAAAAAAAGAAGCACTGCTCCAGTGTTTTAGGTCAGGAAGGTGTTTGGGCTGAATTCGGCCCTTCCCCAATGTTGAAGCCTGAACCCCCAAAGTAACTGTATCTGGAGGTCACTGACATTAATGAGGTCATAAAAGTGGGGCCTGGTGTCCGGGAGAGACACCAAGAACACACGACCCAGAGGAGAGGCCCCACGAGGACACGGGGAGCAGGTGGCCACCTGCAGGCCCAGGAAGGATCTCATCAGAAACCAAAGCTGCCGACACCCTGATCTTGGAGGTCCAGGCTCCAGGACTGTGTGAGGTCAGCGTCTGCAGTTAAAGCCCCGAGTCTGTGGTATTTTATTGCAGTAGCCAGAGCTAACTTCTGCAGAAGGTGAAAGAGACAAAGGTGTCCACAGTTCTCACGGGAGTTTATCCACTCCCTGTTAGGGCCCCAGACAGAGAGTGGTGGCTATGGCATCCTCTGGCACGCTCTGACACCTGCTCCCAAGTCTGAATCTTGAGCAATCAGTGAACAAGCACTGGGTGAACATCTGCTGGCATGGTCTTGGCATGAGGGACTCCCCCAGCTCTCGATCTGACCAAGACAAGCCGTGATCATGAACACATGGGCCGAGTTCACCAAGCGCCTTTCCTCTTTTCAGAGTTCCTTCTCATTGCATACTTCAGTCCCTTCTCATTTGGTGGGACTCAGGGTACTACTGAATTCTATAGCAGAGACACAGGTGTATATCTTAACTCAAAAAATTATTGAACTTTAGTAATGATTAATGTTTTAAAGAAACTAAATGTGTCATCAACTAATGAAAACCACCACTAAGGACCCAGCATTCAATTACGGCCCAGATGCCTATTCATTAACTAAAGGCTCAGCTGTCCCACTATGCGACACCCATGAGCCACAAAATCACTGAATGCAGCCAAGGAACCTTTATCCATGGATGGGGTGGGCCAAAAGAAAATGGCAAATGCCCTGGTGAGTGATGTTCCCCTGGCTGTGTCCATGTGTTCTCCTTGTTCAATACCCACTTATGAGTGAGAACATGTGGCGTCTGGTTTTCTGTTCTTGTGTTAGTTTGTTAAGAATGATGGTTTCCAGCTTTATCCATGTCCCTGCAAAGGGTGGGGGATGAGGGAAGGGATATCAGGGGGTGGGGGGATTGTGGAGGGACAGCATTAGGAGAAATACCTAATGTAGATGACGGGGTGATGGATGCAGCAAACCACTATGGCATGTATATACCTATGTAACAAATCTGCACGTTCTGCACATTCACCCCAGAAATTAAAGTATGAAAAAGGAGAAAAAAGAAAACGGCAAATGCACAGCCCCCACTTTGCAGCGGCCCCTCTGCAGGAAGCATGATTTCAGTGCATCCTCACAGTGCTGGGCCATGGGCGTCATCCTTTCTGCACCCCAATTTCCTTATGCACAAAATGAGGCCATCAGGATTAGCAAGCATAGGTTTCCTTCGGCCTAAGACCCTCTGTGTCTCACCCCCTCCCCTGCATTTGATCACAGCATGGCATTTGGAAAAACCATTGAGAAGCCACATAGCAGCCCTGTAACTCCCAGGAAGCACACCTGCTCCAAGGAGCCTGGCCTGTTCTCATCAACCTCTCGAAAGGAGCAGATGGTGGGAGAGCTTGGAACAATGTCCCGTGTCCAGTTCTACAGGGACTGTGTTCCTCAGTGAGCAGGAATGAGCTGCTGTGGGCGAGCCCTGCTTTGTGGCCATCTCCAGGTACAGGGCAAATGAGCAAGCCTCCGTCTCCACCCAAACCCCAAGCAGGTACAACAGGGCTGGGGCAGGCTGGCTTCTTAGAAGCCAGTGACTGGGGATGAGAATTGGTTTTAGGGAATGCAGCCAAAGGTCAGTATGTGTTTAGAGCCTTGGAATGAGACTGGGTGACCCTTGCTTTTCCAGTGCTTGACTCCACCAAAATATCATTCTGTCCTCCTCCCACTGGAGCCTGAGTTCAGTCTGTAGTAACGTTCATTATAAAACAACCCAAAGGATCTGGGGATTTAGGAGTTGTACTATATGAGATCCAGAGACATCTCTGAGTTCATTTCGGCAGTGCTGAACGGGAGGTGTGGGACCCTGCTCCTTCCCTGCTATTCCCGGTGTCCTGGAAGAATGCAGAAGCCCACCTGGCAGGTAAGCATGCACCACGCATGGCAAAGGTGAGCCCTCAGTCAGGCCTTTCTTACTGGGGGGCTGCTGTTTCCCAGTGAACCCCTCCCCTGGAAAAAGGTGAGGTGATGCAGAAACAAGCTCTTCTGGAATCAGATGACGTGCTGGGCCGACGTACATGTGGGCCCTGCCTGAGAGCCCTGTGCACCAAATATTGGGGGCTCTGTGTGATCAGTGAGGGTGCAGCTGATCTCCATCAGAAGGCGAAGTGGGAAGGAGACTCTGTGTGTTGTGTGTGTGTAGAAATACACTGATAGGTAGATAAAATACAAAGAAACTAACACTGTAAACAGTGTTTCAGGTGCATTCAGATTTCTGGTTCCAGCACCCATGTTGACAAACATCACAAATGGCCGTGGCTCACAGAGCACTGGCCACATGGCCAGGCCCTTGTCACACCCCAGCTGGCTGGAATGTGGCTGGCAGAGCCAACTTCCAGGTCACTGCCCCTTGCATTAGAGAGAACTGAGGGGAGATGCAGGAAACTCAGAACTGTAGGACAGAGGGAGAGATCAGGGCTCGGGCACAGGAGGTGGAGGTGTCTGGGAGTGGCTACCATGAATGGAGAAGGTCATCAGAAGGGAAGAAGGGCAGGGCTTGGGGGAGGTAGTTGCCTGAAGCCAGAGATCCTTGAATGGGACTGGGGATGGAAGAGGCAAGAGCTGAAGGTGGGGGAGTGGGGACAGCTCTGAGTCCTGCGCCCTGTGTCCTGGGACAGAGGCAGCGAAGAAAGTGATGGTGGATTCTGAGCCTTCCATGGCTCTCCTCAGTGGGAGCGCTGAGGAAGGCATCTAAACATGAGAAGCCGATTGTGACGAGGATGTGGCACCCGTATGAAGTAGGGCAAAGAAAGCGTCATTATACTTTCCCAGAGTAAGGACTGAGAAAGTCGTCCAGGTCCCTGCTACTGTGATCAGCTTTATTGTGCTTTCCCACCATCCACTGAGCTGTAGAGTCAATCAAGCCACTGAAACTCAGGACGGTACACACAGTTTCTTTTCTTCTTTTCCAAGTCCTACCAATGAAAATTCACCCTGTTTTAAATCATCCCAGCCCCTCCGTATGTCTAAAAACCTATGGCAAATCTTTAAACATCCTTCCACAGCAATTCCTATGGAAGGCTAGTCCAAAGGTTTAAAAGGAAGAACGCAAATGAAACAAAACCCCAATCCCTTCCAGCACAGCGCAGACCTCTGGCACCATGTGCTTCTTTTTTCATCATTTGTACTTACTGTACTTGGTTTTGGTATGAATGGAGCAGTTCTCTGGGCAGTGTTCAGATACCAGCACAGGACTAAACAAATTTGGACAGCACTCTAGCTTGGCACAGACTCGGCGGCAGAAATTCGCGACCTGGTCAGATGTCCGTACGATTTTGACCACAGCCCTGTATGTTTTGCCTCTGTATCTGGAAAACGGGGGAGGGAAAGCGATGGTAAGACCAGATTATGATTCAGTTCTATTCTCTACAGTGTATTCCAAAGGCAGCAACTTCACTTTCTGACGACAAAGCATATCATGCGTGGTTTTCCATGTCGTTTCTGTTATTTCTCACAGAGATATTCATAAGAAATGCTCACTAGTGTGCAAAAAATATGTCCTAACAGTGCTAAACCAGAATCCACTTCCAGAAAGACACCCCATTTAACACGCCTTCATTTTGCTACATACAACTTCATACCAAAGATGAGTGCGCAGGGTACATACCTAATGGGCATGGCTCTCGAAATGAGGTTAGTGAAGTCTAATGGGTATTTTCCTCTTGACACCGTATTTCATTTTTGAAAAATGTGAGTGCATATGGCACCATAATCCTTCCTTGAAAACCATACAAATTCAGAACTCAGAGACGATATCTTTGTCAAGGCTGTGTATCATATTGTTGAAATGGGGACAATTTCCATTATTCATAAATGGCATCTGTGCAGAATGGTGATAGGTAGGCCAGGTCATATTTAAATAGAGAGAAACACAATGGGTTTTATAAGGGGAAAAAAGACAAAAATAAAAAATAAAAAAACAGACACACACACACACACACACACAATGCAGAGTGACTGTATGCCTGGGACCTGGAAACCAAGTGAAGACTCCCAGCCTTGCAGACACTGGCAGCAAGTGGCTTCAGTGTAAACAGAACCATAATGTGTCTCAGGTAGATCAGTGACAGTTAAAGGAAAAGGCTGCTGTATTTCTCAAGTGCAAAGGGAGCAACGTGAAATGGTAGTGCCGCTTACCATACTGTGCCCATGAAGGTAACCAGCCACTCCTCCCCTCCAGGTTGGGATGGTGAAAGACGGCTCCAGGAACTAAAACTTGCTTCCACCTGCTCTCCAGCCTCCCCCTTCCCCACCGCACCCGCCTCCATGGCTTCAGTTCCTTTTTCCAAAGCAGTAAACCGAGTCCTTTCTGAACATGCACACCTTCACTGCAACTCCCATGGCCTCAAGTCTTGATTGAGTGGTAGGTGGTGGATGAAATCATACTGCAAGGAGAATGCACGCGGGAATCAACGTCTTCATAAACGTCTCTATTTCTTATTAGACTGAGGTCTTTGGAAAGCTGCAGTCTATTTGCATATTAGGAATAATAAAGGGCATTTCTCCAGTTAAACCTCCCCCCAGAAGTGGTAACTAACTGAGGGGCCTCACACAGCAGACCTTCATTCTCATTATGGATTAAACCGTGCCCTTCCCAAATTCTGTGTTCATAACCCCCGATAGGGCTGTAATTGAAGATGGGGCTTTCAATGTGGTAATTAAACGAGGTCATAAGGGTGGGGCCCTAATCCAATAGGACTGGTGGCCTTGTTAGGAGATGAAAGGCTGAGTGTGGAGGTTCACCCTTATAATCTCAGCACTTTGGGAGGCCAAGGTAGGAGGATTGCTGGAGCTCAGGCATTTAAGACCGGACTGGGCAGCACAGTGAGACCCCCATCTCTACAAAAAATTTAAAGTCTAGCTGGGCATGGTGGGGCACTACTGGGAGGCTGAGGCAGGAGGATTCCTTGAGCACTGGAGGTCAAGACTGCAATAAGCTATGATTGTACCATTGCACTCCCACCTGGGCTACACAGTGAGGTCCCCTCTCCCCTGCCCCCTAAAAAAAAAGAAGATGAAAAGCCACCAGGGGTGTACATGCACAGAGACTAGACCATGTGAGGGCAGAGGGAGAAGGTGGCCATCTACAAGCCAAAAAGAGAAGCTTAAGGAGAAACCAACCCTGGAGCCTTCACCTTGGACGTTTGGCCTCTAGAGCACTGAGAAAATAAACATGGTTGAAAAGCCATGTGGCCTGTGGCTCTTTGCTGTGGCAGCCTGAGCTGACTGAGATGAGATTCATACCTCCAGGGGGAAGTGACAAGAACGGGGACCCCCGAACTACCTGTCTGCAGCTCCCCATCACCCACACAGCGGCTTCTCCTGACCATGGCTGCTGTCTGCTTGTATCCTTCCTTCTCGATTCACATTTTCTAAGGATTCTCTGAGGTCCTCTTTCAGTACTTTTCTCTGATCTTAGAGGAAAGACCGATCTAGACTAAGGGTATGGAAGTTTCCCCCAAAGACTTTTCAATGCACTAGGAAAATGAGAGATCTGGAAATCCAAATGCCTTTCGTAGTTATCCACAAAGAACTGATCTGATGTATGGGAATCCTAAAACTTGGACAAACATTGCTTACAGAGATGGCGTTTTCTTGCCATCATATATAAATATCAAGTGTAATATTGCTTTCCTTAAACATAACTATTCAGTAAAGAATAAAAATTAAGCTCCTCGTCTCCCTCCCCACACCCATCAACACAACAAGAATTTAGAATGAGACATGCTTCTGGAGCCTAGATATTGTCATTTGCTGCTCATCACTTTTAAGAAACAAACTTTCTCCTGCCCCAAGAAAAACCACAGACAATGAATTCACCAACATAAAACTGGTAACCAGAGCTAGAAAAAGCAGACTGGATGGGTTCTTGTTTTAAATGTAGGCACCACAGCCCTTATCCACGTATGACGTAAACAGCGCCTCGCTGAAAACAAAAGCACTTGAAGATAAGTTTTAATCGCCCTTGGGTGCATTTTTATAGCTATCATGGGTACAAAATAATGGTCAACTTCTCAGTTGACAACAAATCACAGGCTTTTATTTCATTGACATATCACCAAGCTACTGAAATGTGAAATTTCAGCTTTTTAGAAATATCTTTCTAAAGACCGGAAAAATACTTTTCCACTAATAAATCATTTTTTTAAAGTATCAACAGCAAAAACAGATGAAGAATTAAATTCTAACTTGTGCTCTATATCTGCATACTCTACTACAGGTATTTCATATTTATTCAGGGTCCTTCAGATCCCAGCCCCTGGGTGTTTCTTTTTCTCAAATTTCTCTGATGGGTGAAGTTTGACCTTCCATGTAGCGAGAACCAAAAATCCATCTTCTGTAGATATGATCATGCTTTAAACCCTATAGCCTTGAGTGATTGTTGGCTTTTCTAGGCCCTCCATTGACCCTGTGTGTACAGACTTTCTTCTATGTGCGTTTCAAGAGGGCCTCCAGGACCCATGTTGGGGTGGTTCTTGCTTACTGCTTTTGCTGCATTTTACAACAAAAAACAGCACAACTGGGGACATGGTACGTTCCTCATGTTGTGGGACATGGAGAGTAAAAACCGGGAAATGTAGAATGAAAATACTTTACAGCTACATTTTCTTTTGCAGTCTTATCCAGTACGAGTTTGGTGGTCCTACAGCTTTGTTGGAAAAGAGCTCAATATCAAGACTCTTAGAGTCCCTAAAAAAAAAATAAAATAATGAGACATAAGAATGCAGGAGAAATGTGCAAACCATGTCAGATGTCAGTCTGCAGAACAAGGCTCAAAGAGGAGATGCTCATCAAACCTCCAGGTGACAAGGCACATACACGTGGTGCCATAGCAAAGGGACGGGTGAAGGGGGCAGCTATCTGGGGGAAACAGAATCAGGGTGGCTTCATATTTTGAGATGGGGAGTCTTGCTCTATTGCCCAGGCTGGAGTGCAGTGGTGCAATCTCAACTCACTGCAACCTCTGTCTCTCGGGTTCAAGCGATTCTCCTGCCTCAGCCTCCAGAGTAGCTGGGACTACAGACATCTGCCACCATGCCTGGCTAATTGTTGTATTTTTAATGGAGATGGTGTTTCACCATACTGGTCAGGCTGGTCTCGAACTCGTGACCTCAGGTGACCTGCCCATCTCGGTCTCCTAAAGTGTTGTGATTACAGGTGTGAGCCACGGCGCCCAGCCTCATTCTACTCTTTATTTTACCAAAAGTGAAAGAAAAGTGTGTTTTGTACTTTTATCTTCCATGAAAGACTTACAAACAGCATATCAACGACATAACTTTGTAGGCAGAGTGTATGAAAAGAACAACCAACCACGAGATAATGCTTTTAACTTTCTACTGACACTGTGAGACCAGAGGGCAAGACAATGATATTGTTACATGGCCCGGCAAGGCTCTCATAAACGCCAAGTTTTTGAAGCATGTATTTCAAGTCTCAAGAACAAAAAGAGGAAAATATTAAGATTGACAGCTGAGCTCACACACACTAGAAAACTTCCTGGCAATATAAATAATCTCAGAAAGAAGGAAAATAAAAGCAACAAGCAAAAGACCACTGAGTTGGAACTAAGGAATAGCAAAGATAAAAAGGTGAGGGAGGAGACAGCTGCAAGGGAGAGGTCCAGGAAGAGCCTTCATCTTAGTTCTCAGACAGACACTGCAGTCCCAGCACTGCTGTATTAATCAGGTCGCACAGAGCTCTGGAAGGAAGCACGCAATCTTGTCTTCATAAGCTGAGCACATAAGGAAAGGCTGAGGCTGACAGTGCTCTCAGAAGCACACTTTGAGACCGTAAAGGAAGTCGCAGATCAACAGTGGGAAACCTGGGAGATGCTCTCCCTAGTTGTCAATGCAGGACACTGAGAATCCCAGAGTCAGAGATTATTTTAAGCTGAAGATATTTGAGATTCAACAGATACAGAAAGAAGCCTTCTCAGAGCGCCCATTATCTGACTGAAAGCAGAAACTTCAGAGAAACAGAGACTGCCATAAATTCCCTCCTTGAAGGCATCTTCTACTCCCAGGAGAGAGACTTAAGAGTAAAGCTGCCATAAATCCCCGCTCTGGGGGTGTTTCCTGGCCCGGCCATGAAGAAGACAGAAAGACCACTCACACCTGCGTAAACACAAACTTTCTCATCCTCCCATCTATTCTCCTCAAATCCAATTTGTCTTTCCCGAAGCAATCTGCTTGTTCTTCCGATAAAAGTCTTTGCTCCCAGCTCCCTTTCCCGTACTGAGCTGGATATATAATCCCCAAACGACTGACCGCTCCTCTGAGTTACTCAACACTGAGCACTCCCTTGTATG